TATTATCTATAGCTTTTTTAACTTTGGCCGTAAGCCACATAGGTTTTATTTTTAGCCTTTTAAACTTTTTGCCCATGGGAATATATTTTGCAGTGTATTCACATACAGTCTTTTTGAAGAACTCCCATTTCTGTGTTGTGTTCATTGATGCCAATATTCCCTCCCAGTCTAAGCTTTGGAGAGCAGCTCTCAGCCTTGGACAATTAGCTCTTTTAAAATTGAGCATTTTTATTTTTCCCGTATGTGCTCACTGTTTACAGCTAACAATAAATGAAATCATGTTATGGTCACTGCTACCCAGATGTTCTTTTATATGGACATTCATAATAAGCTTTGCATGGTTCAAGATTACCAGGTCCAGCAGAACATCATTCCTAGTTGGGGCCTCTATGAACTGTACCATAAAATTGTCCTGCAGTAGGTTTAAAACGTTTTGCCCTTTAACTGTTCCTGCAGTACCATTACTCCAGTCAATTTCTGGGTAGTTAAAATCTCCCATTATTATCACTATCTCAGCCCTTGCAGCCCTTTCGATCTGTGCAAGGAGCTGAGTCTCCACCTCGTCATTAACACTGAGAGGTCTATAACAAACTCCAATGATGACCTTTGTATTTTGCACCCTCATGTGCAGTTCCACCCATAATGCTTCAGCCTCAGGAATATTAATGGCCCAGTCATGTTAAGAATGAAGCCAAGATTCAGCAATACCAATTAAATGATAGCTCTCTTCATGCACAAAAGCTTCCAACTCACCTATGTTGCTTGGCAGACTTCTGGCATCGGTGAACAAACACTTTAATGCATTGACATCTTGCGCACACGTATTTTGCATATTTTTTTTTTCCTACAAATGGTACCAATTCCACTGGTTGTTTGTAACATGGGAACCTTCTTATCATCTGCCATAGCCCTCCCCCATCTTTACCCATTCCACCCACCAATAAGTACTGACCCCTGTCTGATCTGTCTACCCCGTTATAATCTAATTCTCTCTCCCCCCCTCCATCCTAGTTTAAATACTCCTCCAGCCTTCCCATAAACATCTTCCCCAGCACAGCAGACCCCCTTCCATTTAGGTGCAGACCATCTCTAGCATATAGGTTGCACCCCAATGAAAAGTCAGTCCAGTCATCTAAAAACCCAAATCCTTCCCTCTTGCACCAGATCGTTAGCCATGCATTGAGTTCTCTAATCTCCCCCCTGTCGTTCCTGAGTTGTGCATGGCACAGGTAATATTTCAGAGAATATCATGGAGGTCCTTCCCTTCAACTTGCAGCCTAGTTCTTTAAACTGATTCTTAAGGAGCCTCCACCTTTCATGTACTCTGTCATTTGTTCCAACATGGACCAAGACAGTTGGGTCATGCCCAGCCCCTCCCAGTGATTTATCAACCCGGTCCACCATATATGCTGAACCCTGGCACCAGGGAGACAGCAAACCATTAGGTTGAGGTGATCCTGGTGAAAATTATTCTATCAGTCCTTCTGATTATAGAATCCCCTACTACCACCAACTGTCCAGGCCTTCCTGCACTACCCTCACCCCCCCCCCCCCCCCCCCCCAGATGGTCTGCCCTCCCGGCTTTTAGGGATAGCAGTGACATCCAGGGCTGCCACCCCCACTTCACCCAACTTGGCATATCTGTTTGGGTGTACAAACCCAGGGCCAGCCTTCCTTTTCTGTGAGCCCCTACCACTCTCTGTTGTTACAGCAACCCATGAAGCCTTTATTCCAATTGCATAGATACATATACAGTAGATACGTAATACAGTAAATGTGAAGCTGTTAGATGGAATTTGGTGGCTACATCTCTAAACGGTCTGGATGTGGCATTTGACTATCTTAGTACAAGCTATGTATTATTAAAGGCAACATTCCATCAACATTCTGTATTCAAATTTACAGACCAACAGGAAAGAGAAGATTAATATAATTTCCTAAACTATAAAAATCGTTATGACACCTTTTACTATCACCTGCAATCTTTTAAATCTATTACATCAGCCTTTCTCAACCTTTTCAACACAGAGGAACCCGTGAAATAACGTTTTGGTCTCAGGGAACCCCTGCTAAAATTTTATATCATGATAGATTAGTGTAATGCTCAGTGTGAAGAATGCTCCTCACACTTGTGGTCATTGGGAAGAGTTACCCCCTTACAGGGAGCTAAAAAGATCATTGGTGTCAGTGGGAACTTATCTGAGAGGCAGAAATTGCTCATTGCTCAAGGAACTCCTAGCAACCTCAGGAAGAACCTTAGGGTTCCACAAAGCTCTGGTTGAGAAACTCTGTACTATACTTTTGCTTAATTTAGCCACTAATATTTGGTGGTAGTCAGAAGAGGAAAATACATAAAAAAAGTAAAATTTTGAAGCTTGGTGCACTTCCATCTAATCCTGCTGCCCTAGGCACTTCCCTATGCAAGCCATAGCTATTCATTGCAGCTTGATACAGATTGCCCCATTAGCACCAGTTTAGACACAATACAGCAGCATTATCTCTCTTAATGTTAAGGTAATGTTTCAGTTACAAGCATTAGGACAGTTAGCACATTGTTTAATGAGCCCGTGTTAGATAGATACCAAATTGGATACTCCAGTGGACTGGAATAAAGTTTTCAAGAAATGTTTATTTTCTGCCACTCAGAGGACTAAAGTAGCATCTGGAGAATTATTTCATATAATGAGACTTATGCTATCATGCAGACACAAGGACTGTCATGAAGCCTTTTGAATTGAGAGAATAATAAAAGAAGCAGAATATCACCAAAAGTTCAGCAAAAATTTGGACATTAACTAAATCACCATCTCAGCAAAATATATTGGAGTCAATAGGTAAAGCAAAACTTTGGTTATTTTTAATGGCGCAATAGGTACAAATGAGAGTTGGGTAGCTCCTTTGAACTTTTTTGAACTCTAACCCTAACAGTAACACGAGCCCTAACATTGACCCTAGTGCTAACTCTACCGGTAACCTTAACCAATTCAATACCGGGCAATTTTACACCTTCCTGCCCAGGACAGTTTTCACGTTTCAGCGCTCTCACACTTTGCATGACAATTGCGCGGTCATACAACACTGTACCCAAACTAAAATTTTATCATTTTCTTCACACAACTAGAGCTTTCTTTTGGTGGTATTTAATCACCACTGGGGTTTTTATTTTTTGCTAAGTTAAAAAAAAAAAGACCAAAAATTTTGAAAAAAAAACACGTTTTTCTTTGTTTCTGTTATAAAAGTTTCCAAATAAATAATTGTTCTTCATAAATTTAGGCCGAGATGTATTCTGCTACATGTCTTTGGTGAAAATAACCCAAATTAGGATGTATTATTTAGTTTGTAGGAAAGTTATAGAGTTCACAAACTATGGTATAGATCTGAATATTGATCAATCCTGAAGTACTGACAGCCAATCTGAATTCTTGAGGTCCAAGAATGTCAGAACAGTACAGATATCCCCCAAATGACCCTTTTTACAGAGTAGACAGTCCGACGTACTTCATAAGAGGAATGGCGAGTTTTTTGAAGTTGTATTTTACATACTGTCACCAGTGCAGTACAGCGTCATCATATAACTGGCATAGCGGTGAACAGGGACACTGACTGGTGACAGTATGAAAAAAAATATATATATTTTTTTTTATTTTTTATTACATTTTTTTTATTTTTTTTAAGATTTTTTTTTCATATTTCACTCACCATAGTAACATTGTACTACTTTGGGGAAGTGATCAGTATTTTTATTTATTTTTTTTTACACAACTTTGCTATAAGCAAGCATTTACCTGAATGACATCGATTCATTCAGGGTTTTTTTTTTTTTTTTTCGTGCTTAGCTGTGATTTGGCCACAGCTAATCACATGACATGTGCATGTGACCTGCTGTGACCATTCACAGTTAGGCACTAGTATACAATGGATGGCATGAATGAAGCCATCCATTGTATACAACTGTCATGTGACCTGCTGTGATTGGTCACAGCAGGTCACATGGTACCGGCAACAGGGGCCGGTACTCAGATCTGTCATCGGCCGTGTCCGAGGTACACGGCCGGTGACAGATCGCGCCGCTGAGCGGCTCTGCAACCGCGCAAACTGCGCATGTGCGGGAGGACGCCAAATGGCGTACACCCCGGAAAGCTAAAGCTTTTTTGCAGCCGCCAAACAGCTATAGGCCGGGCGGCTAATGAGTAACTATAGCACCAAACCTAACAAACCCCAATGATAACCTTCACCCTTTGTTTATAAAAGAAGATCATATGATCATCATGACTCTGCCATCCCATCCCATGGTTTTGAGGCAGCACACTTTACCTTGCTCTTTGACAGTAGGGTACCAATAAAAAGTCTCTGTTTAGTAGAATGAGAGTTGCTGTATGACATAATTTTGACAGTCAAATAGTTACATATTGACACTTTGCATCACTTACCCAATAAGGAATTCTAGTTTAAAAGAAAATTGAACAGATTCTTTAACCTCCCTAGCAGTCTGATTATGTCCATATTTCTGTGCTCAAAGCGGTACAATTTTTTGCATGGAAATATGTTTTTTTTATTGTAGGCTGTAATTTTTAGGAATAACTCACTGAAATCTGTGAGAACAAGAGTCTAGTAAACATCCCGGGTATGATAAAATTTGAAACACGAAACCATAAATTATAATTTAAGAAATATTCATAAAAAATAATAATATAATAAAACATTTAATTCAATAATATAATCAAACCAAAAACATTGAAATTGAAATAGAGCGCCAAGTTCGCACATCACTGAGCTCAGTCGCAGAATCGTTTTCAGTGTCTGATGAGGAATTTCCCCCACAAATTATTATCACTCAATTCTGCAAGTGGTTCTAATTTACTATCGCTGTTCTCTAGCCGGTCTAAAACCGCTTTTGGCCTAAAGGGACGCTTTTTGGACGCCATGGACGTTTCTCAGTTTCCAGGCAGAAAGAACAATAAAAATGCAGGCAGGGCGCCGGAGAAAGCACTCGGGACAAAATGTATGTGAAATGGTTTGATACAGGAATGTTATACTATGTGATTTTAGTGTATTTAGTGAATGTCACTTTTTGTCATTTTCAAATTTCCCGCCAGTTCCGTCCCTGTATGTCCCGACGCTTGCAGGGGACGGAACCCAGATGACAGATGCCGGCATCCGCCGGGGGACATTGCTGGGGACAATGCAGGGGGGACATCGCGGGAGCGCAGGGCAAGGTAAGTGAAGTACAGATCCTGGAGCAATGCTGCAGTGTATTCACCGAGTGTAGCTCGGGTTACCGCTTGTGGTGCTGAAACTTTACCCCAAGCTACACTCGGGAATACCGCCAGTGGGGGTTAAAAGAATTGACCCTACTTCCCCACTGTAGCATGGAAAGGCTCTATTTTCTGATCGATAGAAATGTTTCCACAGTCACCACAAAGGGAACCCTTAGTGTAGGTTTGAAGGTCATTTTGTGGCAACAGAGAGAGCACAAACAAGGCCAGTTGTGTGCGTTCAGGATGACGCTCCCTATTTCCAGGGGAGCACAAAGACAGGTACTCTGTTTCCCCAGGATCTTCACCAAAAGTTTTTGGAGAAAGACTGTTCAGCATTAAAGGAGTGCATCAACCATTGAAGAGTGCATTATTGTCATTAAAGTTATGTGCCTGATTTGCTGATCAATATGTTTTTTATGTTACAGGGTTTCATGGATTCACTCCAACTGAATTAAACTGAAGACCTATAGTAAATCAGCAGCTGATCCAGAGAAACAAAAACCCTCAAAACGTGAGGTCCAACCTCAACCTACTTACATCCTTCAGGAGGGTTTCTGAGTATTCAGGTTACTGATCCTACATTGTTTGCAGTATTGCTTTCAAAATAACCTTTAGAAAGGGACATGAAGTGAGTGCTGGTTTAGGAGACAATAAAAGGCAGGTGTATGCACAGGCAGAGGTAGCATTGGCAACTATCATCTTGGATAAAGTGTTAATCTTGGATTAAGTAATGCACTTCAGCTCTGCATCATCTGAATAACTCTTCCCTATCCCCTAGCAGGTGTCTGTGAGCAATATCCATCTGTACTTATCCGTCTGTACTATCTCCATATATGGCTAATTGATACTGCTATGCTATATAATAATCTATGCTGCTTTTAAGTCCACTTCTAACTGAAGCTGATTCATTACTATCAATGTTCTTATTGGTAATCTATGTTGCTTCCAACATCTTTAGCTCTGTCTATAATACTGTGATGTTTATTTTGCTCTTATTGCCTAACTAACATTTATGAATTGATCCTAGTCTTTACAACTCTGCCCTCCTGCTCTCTTGGCTTGTCTCCTTTGGGAGAAGTTTGCCCTGCTAGCCATGTGCTTCTCCTATGCATTCCTAATTGATTAATTGGCATTACCCCCCCCCACCCAACTCCAGTATAAATGTATGCCTTCCTTAGGTGAGGCACAGACAGGGGTAGCATTGGCAACTATCAACTTGGATAAAGTTTTAATCTTGAATTAAGTATTGCACATCAGCTCTGCACTTCAACAAATGTACAAAGCAAGAATTTGCAGCAGACAACTGACAAATAATAAACAGATTACAGGTGACATGTTTCCTTCATTCACATCCCTCTCTGCTCCTCTCCTCATTTAAAACTCACTGTAATTGTCTATTCTCTCCAGTTTTTTTTGCAAATTGCTTTGATCTATTGGCCTCCTGGACCTGTATCAAGCTTCTTTGATGATTTCTCTGTCTGGCTGTTGTACTTTCGGTCTTCTGAAACTCCCACAATCATTCTCGGTGACTTCAACATACCTGTTATTCTTAACACACCTGCTACTTCTAAACATCTAAACCTAACCTCCTATTTGACCTAAAACAATGGATGCATGCTTCTACTCACTAAATAACAACTGCCTTGACCTTGTTTTGACCTACCTATGCACTCCTTGCAACCTCATTAACATTCATTTGCCTTTTACTGTCACTCCCTTATTGGCTTCACTCTCTCTCCTTGGATTCCTCCTGCTTTTCTTCCAACTACCTCACAGTTACCCGTGGAAACCTTCACCATCTTAACCATTCTCTTCTTTTTTTCTGCAACAGATTGTCTCTATGACAAAATCTTAGCTCTGTCCTGCTCCAACCTGGCCACTTCACAAAAAGAACATTGGGGAACTGGAGAAAGTACAGAGAAGGGCAACCAAACTGATAAGAGGCATGGAGGAGATCAGCTATGAGGAAAGATTAGAGGAACTGAATTTATTCTCTCTTGAGAAGAGGAGATTAAGGGGGGATATGATCTCCATGTATAATACATAAGGGGGGATGTGATCTCCATGTATAATACATAAGGGGGGATATGACCTCCATGTATAATACATAAGGGGGGATATGATCTCCATGTATAATACATAAGGGGGGATATGATCTCCATGTATAATACATAAGGGGGATATGATCTCCATGTATAATACATAAGGGGGGATGTGATCTCCATGTATAATACATGAGGGGGGATGTGATCTCCATGTATAATACATAAGGGAGGATATGATCTCCATGTATAATACATAAGGGGGGATATGATCACCATGTATAATACATAAGGGGGATATGATCTCCATGTATAATACATAAGGGGGATATGATCTCCATGTATAATACATAAGGGGGATATGATCTCCATGTATAATACATAAGGGGGGATATGATCTCCATGTATAATACATAAGAGGGATATGATCTCCATGTATAATACATAAGGGGGGATATGATCTCCATGTATACTACATAAGGGGGGCTATGATCTCCATGTATAATACATAAGGGGGATATGATCTCCATGTATAATACATAAGGGGGGATATGATCACCATGTATAATACATAAGGGGGATATGATCTCCATGTATAATACATAAGGGGGGATATGATCACCATGTATAATACATAAGGGGGATATGATCTCCATGTATAATACATAAGGGGGATATGATCTCCATGTATAATACATAAGGGGGATATGATCTCCATGTATAATACATAAGGGGGGATATGATCTCCATGTATAATACATAAGGGAGGATATGATCTCCATGTATAATACATAAGGGGGGATATGATCTCCATGTATAATACATAAGGGGGGATGTGATCTCCATGTATAATACATAAGGGGGGATATGATCTCCATGTATAATACATAAGCGGGGGATATGATTATCATTAGAGATGAGCGAATCGAACTTGGCGAAGTGGAATTCGTTTCGAATATTAGGAAAAATTCGATTCGCACCAAATCCGAATTTTAGCAAACTTCGGATGCACGAATCGAATTTTCCCCAATCAGCCGGCAAAAAGTGTCACTGCAGAGAGCTCCGCTATTTCTGACAGTTCTCTGACAGTTCTGACAGTTCATTTACAGCGGTTGAAACATTGTATCTATTTGTTTCCATTTAGGATACAGATGTTTTTATATCGGAAATAAATAGATACAATGTTTCAAACCGCTGTAAATGTGAAGGAACTGTCAGAGAACTGTCAGAAATAGCGGAGCTCTCTGCAGATACACTTTTTGCTGTACTGGAATTCTTCTTCTTTTCATTCTTCTTCTTCTTTTCATTCTTCTTCTTCTTTTCATTCTTCTTCTTCTTCTTTTCATTCTTCTTCTTCTTTTCATTCTTCTTCTTCTTCTTTTCATTCTTCTTTTCATTCTTCTTCTTCTTCTTTTCATTCTTCTTCTTCTTTTCATTCTTCTTCTTCTTCTTTTCATTCTTCTTTTCATTCTTCTCATTCTTCTTTTCATTCTTCTTTTCATTCTTCTTCTCATTCTTCTTTTCATTCTTCTTCTTCTTCTTTTCATTCTTCTTCTTCTTCTTCTTTTCATTCTTCTTTTCATTCTTCTTCTTCTTCTTTTCATTCTTCTTCTTCTTTTCATTCTTCTTTTCATTCTTCTTCTTCTTCTTTTCATTCTTCTCTTTCTTTTTTCATTCTTCTTTTCATTTCTTCTTCTTCTTTTCATTCTTCTTCTTCTTCTTTTCATTCTTCTTTTCATTCTTCTTCTTCTTCTTTTCATTCTTCTTCTTCTTCTTTTCATTCTTCTTTTCATTCTTCTCATTCTTCTTTTCATTCTTCTTCTTCTTATTTTCATTCTTCTTCTTCTTTTCATTCTTCTTTTCATTCTTCTTCTTCTTCTTTTCATTCTTCTTTTCATTCTTCTCATTCTTCTTTTGATTCTTCTTTTCATTCTTCTTCTCCTTCTTTTCATTCTTCTTCTTCTTCTTTTCATTCTTCTTTTCATTCTTCTTCTTCTTCTTTTCATTCTTCTTTTCATTCTTCTTCTTCTTCTTTTCATTCTTCTTCTTTTCATTCTTCTTTTCATTCTTCTCATTCTTCTTTTCATTCTTCTTTTCATTCTTCTTCTCATTCTTCTTTTCATTTTTCTTCTTCTTCTTTTTATTCTTCTCCTCTTCTTTTCATTCTTCTTTTCATTCTTCTTTTCATTCTTCTTCTTCTTCTTCTTCGTCGTGCCCCGTGACTGCCCAAATGAGTGAAGTGTGCGGTGATTCTAAGATCGACGGCACTCATCTGCATGTCATACTGACTGACAGTATTATTTCTCTTCCCCAGCAGACTCCAAGGGCATTTAAATTAAAGGTACAGTGTTCTGCACTAATATAAAGGCTCTCTGAAGCCTAGAAACCCTTTTAATAAGTTAAATTCGCGGCTAATAAATTCGCATTGAATCGAATTTCTCCCGCAAATTCGGCGAATCAGCCGAATCGAATTTTTGAATAATTCACTCATCTCTAATTATCATGTATAATACATAAGGGGGGATATGATCTCCATGTATAATACATAAGGGGGGATATGATCTCCATGTATAATACATAAGGGGGGGGATATGATCTCCATGTATAATACATAAGGGGGGATATGATCTCCATGTATAATACATAAGGGGGGATATGATCTCTCCATGTATAATACATAAGGGGGGATATGATCTCCATGTATAATATACATAAGGGGGATATGATCTCCATGTATAATACATAAGGGGGATATGATCTCCATGTATAATACATAAGGGGGGATATGATCTCCATGTATAATACATAAGGGGGGTATGATCTCCATGTATAATACATAAGGGGGGATATGATCTCCATGTATAATACACATAAGGGGGATATGATCTCCATGTATAATACATAAGGGGGGATATGATCTCCATGTATAATACATAAGGGGGGATATGATCACCATATATAATACATAAGGGGGATATGATCTCCATGTATAATACATAAAGGGGGATATGATCTCCATGTATAATACATAAGGGGGGA